GTGTGGCCGGGGGGGGGGGTCATCGGTTAGGGATGCAGGGCATTGATATGTGAAGGAGATGTGCCTATTATGTCTGCTTCTTTTGAAGCTTAGAAAGAAAATGCTGAAGCAACTGATATATTCCCGCACAAATAACTATAAACGCATCGAAAGAATTATTTTGGGCCATCAAATGTCGGGCAGCAAACGGCAATGCTCAAACTCGGATGTTTTTCATGTCTGGAACTGCCTTAGTACTTTGATCTTAACAACTTGTGCTTTCAAAGCAACCTTTAACAGTGAATCTTGCTGAGCTACTTTTTGAGTTCATCCGAGATACTTCAAGCTTATTGCGATTAATACTGGTATATTGATAATATGTGCAGGTTACTCGTTCCCTTTTAGGTAACTCCCTTGATGTGGTTGCAGAGGTGCAAAAGGCACAAATACAGTTTCATAATTTGGCTGATATTGCCTTCTCCACTCCAACTGGTATTGTTGTTCAATTCTTTCTTTCATTTCTCACCCCACCTGCTGAATTCCACTTTTGATATCTGTTTGCAGTTAAGCCCGTTACCATCAGGCACTTGTGGACAATTATTTTAGGGTCATTTATTGCTGTAATTTCAGTAATTTATTATTAATGCGTGAGGTTGTTTTATTGCTCCTTCTGACCTATATTATCTGAAGTTATTTGACTAGGTAGAGAATACTAACATGCTTATGACTTTTGTTGGTTTTTGATGGTGTCAAAAGATTTTGAAATTGTTTCTGAAAAGTTAATAAGAGAGTAATTTGAATAGTCAAATAATTGCAAGATAATTTGTATCATTAATGGCATGGTGTTGGGATTTTCCAAAATAAAGTCTCATGTAAAACAGAATCAGTTCTTATACAATATTTTAATATTCTTGGATTAGGGATATTAAGTTCTAATTTGTATGCATTCTTATTTTATTTGGTTGCACTGTTTCTTCTCTTGCAAGTTTGGTCACAAAAGGTACTATTGTGGGAAGACTCATTCTGTCTTCTATTTAATTTGAGTTGGATTTTAGATTAACATCTGCTTTGCTTTTTCCTCTGTGGAAATCTCCTTCCTTGCAAGGGGCTATTTTGCTTTTCACGCACCTTAGAAGTTTTCTTTCTCTTGTCTTGTAAGTCTCACATCAGGCTGTGCCTCCTGTTTGTTACTCATCCCTTTTGTATTTTAATTTGTGCTTTTCAGATGATTACTGTCATTTTTCATGTTCTCTAGTTGTTGAACTCCTCTTTCACACTCACATATCATATATTAGGTTATGGAAATGTTCTAAGAAAGTGAAGATAAGTGACTGGTAGCAATCGTCTTTGCTGTCCCCTGGAGATGGACTGTTAATTCTTATCTTTGTCAGGATTTTTTTATTGTATAACTCTTTTGTGCTTTTATCATAACAAAGAGGGAATTATGGAGTAATACATATTTTAGGATGGATAGACAGGTAAATTCCATGCCTAGACACATGGGCACTCCATGCCTTTACTTTTACTGCAATTTATCAGAAATTAAAGTGTTCAGCAGTAAACGGTCATTTTGTCCTTGTGGAGTAAGTTTTCAGTAGTAATTGTTATTGGCAGATTATTTGAACTATTTTGCTGGTATAAGCGCGTTGCACCTTATAACTAACACTTGACTTCACATTTGCAGTTGAGGAACTTGAGTTGCAGCTTCATTTTGAGAATTATAATACTGGCAAGAAGGTGAAATTGACACTAGATATGTCATGCTTGAATAGGTACAGCCCTTTTTTCTCTACAGCTTCGTGTCTTTTGCTTTCACCTTTCTTACAACATGGTGTATGAATTAGTTCATGTTTGTCATGTTTCCTGCAGGATAAAATATCTATACTGTGCATTATAAGTGCCCCTTTAGTTCTCAAACCAGAAAGAAAAAATGAATCCAAAGTCGAAAATAATTTGATGAGCACAGTGATAAATCCTTTAAGCTGGTTTTGGACACCAACGTATCTGGTCTCAATTGTTCTTATCTGGTTTCTGTTTCCCAGTTGAAAAAGTAGAGTTGATGTATTATCTCAACATAAGAATGCTCCACTATATCCAGTCTTCTTGTCTTCTTAGAGAAAAGCTTAAAAATATTAGCCTTGTTGCTCTCCTTGGTCTGGTGGTTTTTAAACTGCTAGCTTATTTCAGACGTAGTAAACCATATGGTTGGATCCATCTAGTTATTATCAAGATTAAATAAAATGGTGCATTGGAGGCACAGGCTACGGTGCTCTAAGCAGAAATGTGCACATACAATTACGTCAAGAGAGGTGCACCAGTAACCACATGTGGCAGCACAAACACATTGCTTTAGAACATATTTCTTTTTTCGTCATGTCCGAAATATGATCTGAAGCTCTGAATATATATCGTTCATAACCTCACAGCTACTTACTAGTAATTTAGTCAGAACTGCATTCTCTGGTGGAAGTAATTTTCAATCATCATATGGTTGTGTTGATTGGTAGTGAATTCTGCTTTTCATCAATTTTTCATAAGATTATCAACTAACTTGTTGATATGTGGCAACATCTTCATTGTGTGTCACAAGTTACTGACTTTTTGAGGATTTCCTGACAGGGGGGTCTATCCTTCAGAAGTTGTTCCATCCCAGGTTGCAGCTCTAGCTCTTCACGCGGAACATTCAGATGATGCACTACTTGGTGAAATTAGAGCTGCTGTCAAAAATCTTAGAGCTGGATACATGAGGATTATACGGTTATGTGATTGTATTTCACGAGTTGTTCAAGCCTCAGGTGGTTAACTTCAGCAGAAAAGAAAAATTTGAACTTGGATGAATGGACTCTTGTTGGGGTTGCCACTGCTTGGAGCACTCATGAACTTCCTCTTGCACATGTTCTCCATTGTCACAGGTCTTCTGTGGCAACAATCGCATCATATGTTGAAGAATGATTGTGATATATGAGGTGAGATCATAGCTGAATGTATAACTTTTTCTCTTCGATCCAGAAGTATTGTCATTGGTCATTCTCCTAGGTCTTTTACATTTTTTCTAAACCGTATCTTAACTTCTTGTTTTACGTTTGGGCAACGAAGGGTTGGGGAGTTCTAAACTTTAGAACTAGAATGATCAGCGTGAGCTCTTGTTTACTTTGATGGAATAATATAAGCTGTTAGACTAGCTGCATTTTGATCATGCATACGTATCCCTAATGAAATAGTGAAAACTCTGCCGGGGAACTCTAGAGTTAGCCTATTTTAGCTGTATGGGTTTTCATACTCTTTCCGGCTATATCCGTTTTGTGCTCACATCTTGATGCAACTGTATCTTGAATGTTTTGTAAATATTTCAAATGTAAATTTGGTTGAGGATGGTTAGGATTTTTCTTCTCTGTACCAATAGTATAGTGTTAGTCTTATATTTTCTTATTCTTAGGTTTCTACTACTACCACTCATTTTTTTCGCTTCGGTTTCTTATTATACTCTTGTTGTTACTGCTTTTTTTCCCCATCTTTACATGAGCCAAGGGTCTATCAGAAATAGCTCTATCTTTTCAAGGTAGGGGTAAGATTGCGTATATACTACCCTTCCTAGACCTCACTTGTGGGATTATACTGGGTTTTTTGTTGTTGTTGATAGTTAGGATTAACTATTCATATTGCATTTATTTATCACTTCCTTGTTTGGTCATAAACTCTACTAATTGTCCTTTTGTCTTAGTTAGGATACCACCGCCAAGTTGGTACTCTACATACCATTTCTCAAGGAACCACGTACCATTTCTCAAGGAACTTAATCTATAGTTGATAAATGTGCTTCATTAGTTAGGCTTTGTTATATGTATCCCATCTTTTGATATTCAAATGATTTATCATCGTTAGAATTGTTGGGATCGACTATGCTTTTCAATCACATAGGCAGAGTTTAATTGCCATCAATAGAATGCAGAAATTATATTTTAAAGGATGCAAGTCGTTTATACTGGGTATGTTGTTAACTCCCCTTGTGGATACGCCATGAAAAAAGAGTGACTTAAACTATGAATCCTATATTGCTAACCCACGACTAACTATAAACGAATTGGCCAAGCTTATAAGATGTGCTGGGAAATTTGATCATTCAGTACATATCCAATAGTAATAGGGGCACTAGTATTGTAGTTTTTAAATTATGATCAAGTGCTTTAAGTTTTAACTGTGTGGCCACTCAATAGGAAAAGAGTTTTATCAACGTTGGATTATTTTATCTTAAAACCTTTACGCTATAAATAAATGATGTTATAAGAGTTCTAATTCATGTTCCTGTCGAGGTGATTAGAAGTTACTTTAAGAAAATAGACTACACAATAGAAATGAATATTTTTCAGTTATCGGTGTAAAAAATTTAAAAGTTAACCCCAGAAAAATCTTGACATTTAAGCTTGCTCGAAAACCGCACGCCAAAAAAGTGGGTCTTCTGGTTTCTTAACTACCAAGCGAACTCTTAGGATTCTCAAAGGTCCTTAGCCAGCCTATTGAGTATTGTCTATATAGTTAATGATTATTGCGTCTCACAAAACCAAAAATGTCAAAGGTCCCAACTCCTTTCCTTTTAGTATAACTAGGGGCAGTAAATGAACGTGTTAGGCTGAATTTGGTGGGTCAAGATGGGTTAGGTTAATAAATGGGTTTGCTTAACCTAACCCAAAGCGTACTTTGACTGAGATGGGTTGGGTCAAGATGGGCTAAACAATGGGTCATAATTCAACCTGCCCAAATAAACCCATGAATTAATATGTTTGTAGCCCAACCTATTAATCTCTAGGCGGGTTGGAAGGATTTGGGCTCAAATTGCCATCCCTAAGTATAACTCTTCAACGATTATTACAGTTTTGTCAAAAGCACAAAGGAGCGCTGAAAAAGCCCTCCTTTTGTTGTCTCTTTTTTTTTCTCTAAAAATGTAAAATTGTATCAGTCTGACACATAGGTCAAGTGTTCGAGCCGTAAAACCAATCATTAATATTTCCGTTTGGATCAAATGTTTATATCACATCTCTTGAGGTACGGTCATTCTCTGAACTTTGCGTGAGTACATGATGCTATATGCCCCAGCTGAACCTTTTTCATTCTATGAAAAGGAACATTAAAATAGAGTGGTCAATGTAAATGTGGATCCCATTTCCCTTGCCTACCATAAAGAGAAGGAAGAAAACCCAAAAAAGAAAAGGAAAAAAATATAGCAACCCCTGGATTTTAGCATACACCAACCAAAGGAAATGTGCTATTTGTATATGAAGAAAGTTAGGGAGTATGACTCAAAATCTTTATATGCCTTACGACACAAAATCCTATGTATTTGAAGGGGGTGTCCTTGTCAAATGCACATAGAGTAACTAATCCTACAACATTAACGGCATATTTAACTAAAAATTTAATCATAGTGAAGGCGACAAATATAATTTTATACCTCAAAGAAATTAAGAACTAAATATATTTAAGGCTTTAATATAATTTGTTGTCCACGTCGAACAACTTTTTATTGAAAGCTTTACTAATTAGATTTATATTTTATTTAGGTATTTTAATAGTTCGTCTGTGGAGCTATCTTATCGCAATTGTAATAAAACACTAGGAAAGGGACAAGATATGTGAGAATTAGCATCTCACATAAAGTGGCCTCTTTCACAATATTGGAATTATGAAGCATAGTGCGATAGATTTCGATACCGTTAAAGGTCGTGGTAGAGTAGTAAGTGTTCTCTATTTTAAAATAGAGATTTTGGATTCAAGCTTGAATATAAAATTACTTTTGATAGAAAACTTTTTTTTTCAAAGTAGAACTTTTTGATACGAATTTGAATTAATCGGAGTTACAACAAATAGCAATACCGGATAAAAAAGTGGATCTCAGTGTGACACTACCTGGCAAGAAGCAAAGACCTAATATCAGTAAGAAAAATTCATGTTTCTGCAATTATGAGAGTACTATGGTGCCAATATAACTAAATCCAGCAATTGCAAAGGTAATAACTTGGAGGAAGATGTAAAGGAAGTACTGACTATTCGAATTAAAGCTTAGTATTTATACATGCCCTAAATTTTGGATCGGATCGGGTTAAAATTATACCAATACGAATCCGATCCGAATATCCAAAATTTTAATAAACATAATCTGAAATCCGATCAAATATCCGAAATCTGAAGTTGAACGGATCATTCAGATTTCGAATATCCGATCCAAATGAACGGCCCTACCTTCAAGTGGTTGATTATTACTCCGATTGCCTTATCTTCAAGTATAGGAATTTTGTAAACTATAGTACTTTCCAAGAATTAAGTATTTTTAATTACTAAAGTACCTTATTCATAGTACTTTGTTTAATATTAGTATTATATTTGTTAATTAAACCATGAGATACTTTCCTCCACTTTTTAATCTTATCCTTTGTTGTGGATGACATGTGTCAACTTCTGAAGATCATCATATCACAGTATATGGACAAGACAGCAACTTCACCAAATCTAAATAAGATACCTTTTCCCTTATTGATTTAGTTAAAGTCTTATCCTAGACGAAAGTGATTATAAGTTTGTCCTCTCCGTGTGTCTTATAGATTATGAGTTCCAGTCGTGAATTAATCAGCTATTTATATTTGTGTCAGGATTGGTTACCTATACCATACCTTTTAGGAGGCGACCCTTCCCCAGATTCTGTCTGAACGCAAGATGTTTGTTGCACCAGATTGCCCCTGAACTATTGTGTGACTTATAAGTTACGGGTTCGAGCTGTAAAATCAGTTACTGATACTTGTATTAGGGTAGGTTTCCTACATAAGATCTTTTAGGATGTGACCTTTCTCCGAATCCTGCCTGAACACGGAATACTTGGTGCACTGAACTACACCTTTTTATACTTCTCACACATGCACATATATAGAGTTCGGGTCCAAAGTCCTTCCACTTCGTGTAGTTTTAATTTGTATTGATACTGAATGAACATATCAAATAAAAGCGGGGAGTTAAATAGTTTATCAAAATACTTGGCAGATCTATAGCAAATTCGATGATTTTAACTGACTCTACTACCAGCTCGATATATGTGTATATATTTATAAGATCATACTTATAATTAGAAATAAAATATTACGATTTTCAATTAAAATGACCGCAGTTTAGTTGAACTTCTTCCTTCTTTACGTTATTTTTTTAAATAATCCAACTAAACAGCGGTACTATATTAACTAATCCTATATGAAAATAATCAAGCGGAGAATCAAGACTGAAAAAGGAAGGGGAAGTATGCTAATTATTCCAATTAGGGTTAATTAAACAATTTGCTTTAGGTCACACATGTTTGGTCTAACGATTTTCACTGGGATTTCCGTGTCGTTAACTATTACTTCTACTTAATATAGTAGGCATTATTCGATGTATCAGAAACCCGCCTCCCCCCCTCCCCCAACCAACTCCCTTTTTTTCCACTTGGTGTCTTGTTATTGGGATTGGGGCGCCTATTAATTCGAATACGTTCCGCGTGTGACTTATGAAAAAAGAAAATGCTCTTTATCAAGATCTTTTTAATTTATAGTTGAACATAAAACTTTTGGCTAAGGATAAAGGAATCATATTCATCCCACCGATGACGGAGTTATCTTTAATAAATTTTTACACATAAATTTATGCATCACTTTAAAAGTTATGGGTTCAGTTAAATCCATCGTGATTACGCTATATCCTTGGGAAGGCAAGATATAATTGTTGCGTTTTTATTAAGGGGTGTGAATGGGAAATGGAAGAGGCACCTTTTAGATTGCACTTCTCCATATCACCCTTCCTTTGTCTATAAATTTAGAGGCTTGGCCTCATTTTTTAGACATGAAATCAGACAAGGAAAATCTGAAATCTTCTCCCCTCTTTTATACATTGTTGCATTATTTTCTAAATAGTCAAGTGTGATTTGCTCCGTTTGTTGAGTTCGCTGAAGTTCTGTCATTTGAAGTGCCGCTATCACAGAATAGTTATTCCGTTCTATCCTGGGAGGAATTAATCCGTATACCTTGGGCAACAGTGAGGGGATTAAATTCCTTAAGGACACATTGTGCATTCAATGGGTTCGGAATTATTTTACGATTTGTTTATTGAACTAACGTTTGTTTGCTTCTATATTTTTCTGATTTTGAACACAGTAATACCAACAATCTTAAGGAATTTAATCGTTGATAGAAGATCAGAATGTTAGTGACTATGTGAAAACACCAGTGTTGCGGATTCGACTTGAATTCAAACGTTATTATTGTCAAGTTGACTAGTAAATCACATAGAAAGAAAGATGATGAGCAAAGTTGTCTATCTTGGATGTACGTGAGGTTTGCGGATGAAATTACTGTTGAAGATAGTATAGAAATGT